CAGGCCCCTCTTTTTGCCCCGCTCCGGGCCCGGAGCGCGGTCGTTTGCTATCGGCACTGATTCGTTGCTTTCAGAAAAGGAGATCTGCAGCGGGGAGGCGAAGGGATGAAAACTGAAAGTGCGAACGAGCCGGGAGCTGGTGACAGGACTTCTTGTTGCAAAATCCAGCGTGACGAACCCACCCGGCGTGTCTGCTGCAGGGTTGGAAGTCGTGACTCAGCTCCCATAAAAGTGTCTAAGGTGTAATTTTATTTCAGACAGGATATAAGAAGTCTGCTGTCTTTGCCACCAGTGGCGAGGCCTGTTTTTTGGGGGCTGAAACGCGTGCCCACCCGCTTGCTCATGTTTGTCTTTTTGTTCTAACTTATAAAAATCAAGAAACCACCAGTGTTTGCGACTCACCTTCAGTACCCACCCAGCCATCAGACAGCGAGCAGGGCGAGATACTTCTGGAAATGGGTGGAGTGAGATTTTATTGCAACCAAATGTCAGCACTGTGGGTTTTTCTGTTGCTCATCTGTCTTTTCTGGCAGTGGCTGGTGAGACAATTCAGGGTAGGGAACAGGGGAGGACCCTCATGCCTTAAAGCTGAAAACTGTCTCGTAAACATAACCTTTGGTTTATGTAAAAGAAATGCTTTCAGGAGTGCTTCTGCTCCGTTTCGGGACATTCGGCAGCCTGCATCTGTTTGGCTCCCAATGAAACTTTGACTCTTAAAGACCGCGTTTTTAAGGGCGGTTGAAAACCTGCCCTCTGGATTTTAGAAGAACGGTGGCTGCGTTTTAATTTGGGGGAGAAAAAGGTACTCGGTAAAGACAAAGCAGTTTGAAGCGTTTCTAGTTAAGACCGCTGACGACACCGTAAGCATTACGAAGCAAGGAAATGACATGGATTTCTTCCGATGTAAAGAGTAGTAATCTCTAGTTACAGCTCCTCTGATTGCATGCCTCTAGCATCTCTGCAAGGATGAGGGCATTTACAATAGCAGACCAAGGCTCCGTTACCCAAGGACAACGTTTCAGCCGGTCGGGGTCCAAACGCTGAAGGATCCTCCTCCGCCTGGGCTGAGAAATTGCCGCCGCTCCTGTTCTGCGATCGATGGCAAAGTGTCCCAGGGCTTAGGCTGTCACCTTTATCACAAGAAATAGCTACCGCGCGCAGTCAGTCGGAGGAGCTTTCTACAAACCAACCCTTGGAAACAAGGAAGAGCAGGGACGGAGCGTGCGAGAGTGACGCTGAGCCGCGGGGAGCCCCACTTGCGGAGCCGTGGCCGGAGGGACTCACTTGTTTGCTTTCGGCGCGGTTATTGGCGTTGAGCTCCTGCGTTGCTGGGCTGC